CTCGACGAACCGTGGTAAATTGTCATGATCGAGAATACAAAAACATTCTCCTTTGTTTCATTTCCAGTAGCTAGAGCGTCCTCGCTCATGGAAATCACTGCTTTGTGCGTGGCCAAGTCATGATGCATGATGGCAACAGATGTAAGATCGGATCTTCGTGCGGGTACGAGGTGTGCCAGATGGAGAGCCGCAAAGGACAATATACCTCGCATAACAAAATCGGATCGCAACCCAATATTGACGATATTGTTTCGCCAGAAACTGCAGAGATGCTTATCCCCGCTGAGGGTCTCGTGTGTTGCGACGGTCCAGTGAAACATCAATTCAAGGTCCAGTTGGTTGAGTTCCGAAGGTGCAGAGACTGGTGCGTTGAGCAGGTACGCCCCTTTCTTGAGAGCAAGCGTCGTATGGATGTCAACAACATCACATAAGAGACCTTGCTTCATGCATCTGGTACATGCTGGCTTCTTTTCGTCACACTGAGGCTCAGCACTTCATGTCAGTGACCCGTGTGACTGAGAATCTATATGCCAAACCGGGATGTAATCAAGCAATGCCGATACTGCCGACAGCATGGAAACGGGTGCCACCCAACCCCTTCGGGCCACTTACCTTTACCTTTCGCTTCTTACAATTGGAACAGCCAGTTCGGACTTTGCTGTGTGGGCGTCTCGCCAGGTTCTTGAGCGATCGAGGCTCCGTCATGGCAAACGACGACTTGCAGCTTCCAATGGGATGGATGATGATAGAAGGATTTGGTCAGCGAGAACGATACCGGCCCGAGGTGCTATGCGACGACGTACGAGATGGGGTATACCCTCAGGGTATAAGCTTTGCATGCAGCCCCCCATTTGCATTAGTCCAGTCTTAGTCGAGAAGACCCCGCTTCGCATTCGGATCGAGTCCGAAGTGGACCTCACTCATCAGTCATGCTCAAGCTCGCCTGGATATTTTTTTATTTTGCGTTATGTCATTGTTATGATTGAAACGAGAACATCTGCTTGAGATGAACCAGGCCGTTGATCAGTTTTCTTCAACCGTAAATGCCAAGCCCGGCACATATTGACTAACATCGCCTCTTGCGGGCAATGCCCAGCGAAGCCGGCCGGTGGCTTGAGACTATGCCCATATAGCTACGCTGTAGAAAGGCTGTATGAGACATTAGGCGACCAGCCCCTGACATCGTCTGACATCGTCATGCTAAATCACTTGGCAGTTCTTAGCTGTATGGCATTGTAGGCTTCAAGTCTTGCAGCGAACTATCTGCTGTTGGATCATGATGTGCCAGAGGAGAAAACCGAGCTTGGCGAACAAAATGGTCACAAGCAAAGCCAACGCGCCACGAAGGAAGGCATGACATTGATTGTTCTACATAGAAGGGGATCTCTAGGAGATCCACAGTTTATGACTCCGTTCGTTGGGAAAAAGTTGTGACAGTGAGATAGCAGGGGCGCGATGGAGACGCAGCTCCTCCTCCATATTTACAATCCTAGCTCTCAAGGTGTAACCGGTGCATCCATCATGGACTAACTTCTTCGAATGGCAAAGGCCATAGAAGCGATATCGTTCTGCTGAGCCGCCCCACGTTTTACCGTCTACGTTGCAAACGCGCGAGGCAGAACCTGGTTTGTTATCATGGACGCGCGTATTCCAAACCTCACAAGCCTTGGAGTGGAGCCCTTGGACCTCCACCAAAGCACAAACAGCGATACCGATCCGCTTCGTACTTGATCTGGGTCCGAGGCGGGACACCTTATTATTGTGTCGATCATTCAGGGCTGCGATGCGTCGCCCGAAGCTATACTGTACTAGGCTTATGCCGAGCTTCGCCAGGCATGAGCGAATCGGATGCATCCCTTATACTAGAGACACAGCTCTGCAGAACAGCTCCGGAAAGAAATTGACTAGCCAGCAGGCCGGTCAAACCTCTCTAGATGGGCTGCTTCAACATTCCAGGCCCCGTTGATCGCTCGTATAGAGATTGTAAGGACCTGGAGGCTGACGTCACCGAAGTCTTTACGGCAGTAAACGTGAAAAGCCGGAACTGGGCGAGGTAGATTGCGGGGTTCGTGTTGTTTTGTGATTTTCGCTATAATGAATTGCGAAAACTAAAAAGTTGAGGTGCCATATACTACATAACTGAATCCGCCGCCAGGTTGTGCAACAAATATCAACTCCTCATTTCTCTACATCAAAGTGGGCAGCCCCCTCGCACCGCAAACAGTACACGAACATCATGCTCAACATGAGGCTTGCCTACTTGGCAACATCGTTTTCAGGATTTCTTTGGGCAGCTTGCCAGCCGGCCGGAGTAGCCTCTCTGTCTCTCCCTCCCGATGACACTTCGGAAGGAATAACTATATTCGCATCGAAAGATGTGATCACTCTTTCGAACGATGACGTCAACAGAGCAGTCGTGATCCTTGACATGGGTCAAAACTATGAAGGATTTCCGACTTTCGAGGTTATGACTGTATCAGGCGACACGTCGCAGTTGGAGATTTCATTTGCAGAGTCCAAAGCTGCGTTCAGTAACTTCATGGTATGCAAGACTTCAACCTTGTTCAGCAAAAAATATTGAAGCTGACAAGAGGATGAGACTGATGGTCCCTTGCCACTCGCGGCAGCAATGGAAACTTATCGCATTAACAGGCACAACATTACAGGCCCATGTCTGATCACACATCGCCTAATCCAGGGCGCGTTTCGATACCAGAAATTCAACCTATCCTCAGCAGGTTCTCTGAAGATCCGGAATATTGGCGTCAAGCCTACCACACACACCACACCGCTGACGGAGCTTCCGGGGTCCTTTGAATGCTCCGACGAGGACCTGACTAGGATCTGGCATACAGGTGCGAGAACGGCTCAGCTCACCGAGATTCCGAAGGACACCATCCCAGACTTTTGGCAGATCACTGAACAGGGCGCTTTTGTTGAAAGTGTTGCACCTCAAGTCTACCCGAGCACTGAGGCCGCACAGGCCTTGAGCTATGAGGTCACCTTCGAGGCCAAACCTGTGACCGGAGAGTTTGGTTTCTCAGTATTGGCCAGCACCCTGAACGACGGCATTTACATCTCTTTCGATGTCGTCGCTGGCAAGATCTCTGCTCACGAGACCGCAACCACGTTGGGACCGATCCTGGCCACTGGCAATCTGACGCAACGATCACCAGGATCTTGGCATGCCGTCCACGCCAGAGTCGACTCTGGAGCCGTCAAAGTAGCCCTTGACAACACTACCGTACTGGAATTCGCCCAGTCTACTTATGTCGTTGGCTCGTTCGGCGTGGGGGCATCTTTTGGGCATTCAGCGTACTTCCGCAACTTGATGGCCACCACACTTGAGGGCACAGAGATTTATTCATCGAGTATGATGGATAAAAGTGTCATTGAAGACTTTCAGCTCGGACGCAACCCCGCCGACACTATCGTTGACGGGTCTCGACGAGATAGGATCGCTTACAACGGTGATCTCGATGTCGCACTTGGTGCCACTCTTGCTAGTACGTCCGGAACATCGTTCATTGAGGGTACGCTGGACCTTCTAGGTTCTTTTCAAGCCACGCCTGGGTTTTTTTTTCCAACAGCCAAGATCCAGCAGAGCCCGCAGCCTTATTTGACCAATAGCAACTTGACTGGCCTCATTGGGTACTCATTCAACCTGGTCGCAGCGTTCGCACAAAGCTATGAAGCCTCCGGGAACCTGACCTTTGCTCAACGATGGGCTCCTGCAGCCGTTCTCATGCTTGATTGGGCGCATTCTCAAACCATGAACGGCCTCTTCGCAGCTGAAGACCCCATCTTTGCAGGCGATTGGAACTATTACGATCCTCCTCAGATCGGTGTCAGCAGCAAGTTCAATGCTGTTTATGCCTACTCCATGCAGCAATCACTTCCCATGTTTGAGGCAGCGGGCGTGGATACCAAGGTATATAGGGAACGACTATCCGCCCTTCGCTCGGCGATGAACAGCCAGCTGTGGGATGAATCTCTTGGCGCATATGTTATGCTGGACAGCTTGCGTGATGGTTTCTCCCAAGACGCCAATTCTATCGCGATCTTGGCTGGTGTCCCTCAGGCGCAGAATATCTCACCATCAGCCATCCTTTCCACCCTCAATAAGGAACTCTTGCTTCCTGCTGGACCTCTGGCGTTCTCAAATGCTACTGCCAAAGCAGGCTACGCACAGAAGATTAGCCCTTATGCTTCCGCTTATCACCTCCGCGCCGCTCTCCAGTCAAAGGATGCCGCCACTTCCATGAGCTTGCTGAGATCGCTCTGGGCGCCAATGGCGGATCCCTCTCATGCCAACTACACCAACTGCTTCTGGGAGACTTTAGACCCCGACGGCACCCCCGGCCTCGGCCTCATCACTTCTCTCTGCCACGGATGGGGTGCCGGCCCTACTGCCGAGCTGAGTGCTCACGTCCTCGGTATCCAGGCTGTGACTGCTGGGTTTCAGGAGTGGAGGGTTCGGCCCCAGACGCTGGGTCTTGAGTGGGCCAAGGGACGTTACCGTACGGTACGAGGCGACGTGCATGTCGACTGGCGATTTGAAAAAGATCTCTTGCGGATGGAAGTTGATGGGCCGGATGGAGGTATGGTGTATCTCCCGGAGCCCCTCTTAGTGCCCGTCGAGCGGAGCATCATCAAGGTGAATGGTGCTGTGGTCCAAGGCACGAGCTTTGAAATTCCTAAGGACAAAAAGTTCGTCCTCGAGCAAAGCGTTAGGTGCACCAAGCATTGAGGCTTAGGCAGCCGTCGTGACATGTCGTGATTGAGGCACTTCTGATATGCTAGTAATGACACAGAATGTTTCCCAGTCGATTCTTTTGTCATGTAGCTTTGGTATAGATCACTTGGATCATGACCAAACTCTTTTTACCATTTAATGGCATATCCTTGTGCCTCAATCTTCGCCGACTACAGGCTCAAGACATCACGTGCATCGGAACCAGTGTATATTTAGTGATAATAAAAGGTTGTTTACGCACCTCAAGTCTTATCGAGGTAGCGTGGATCTTCTTGATAAAGACGTATGTAACAAGGGGTGCCATTCGCTCCGGGTCTCCAAATGGCGGCGGAAGGGCGCCATGTTTTCAAACGGACATCTGTGTACATATCGGTGAGATTATATCCGGCCGGTGGGAGATTATAGATGAGGGTCGGAAGACTTGCAATAGTAGATTGGGAGATCAATACTAAGGGAATGGGAAACCATTACCTTTCTTTGTGGCGGAAGACGTCCAGGCATAGCAATATTTGTTTCTGAGGGGCAGAGGGCGACACGTCTGAGAAGCATTTGAAGAGAAAAACACACGCCAGAGGGGTAGTATTTATTCTATAGCAGAAGCATAATGACCCTGAGCATTGTGGTATCATGGCATTGGAGACTCGCGACGGCTGAGAAAAAGTAGCTATTGATCGCTTGTTTTTCTCTCAAGCAATAGAACGAATGACATGCATCCTCTGGATATTTTCTAATAGCTCGGTAGTTACCCATATGCTGTTCTTCCTTGGCACCTAGTCATGTGACTGGTGACCTTGCTGGCCGGTGAGTACGGCTCCGGCTAATGATCATAGGTGTCACGTTAACGTTCAATTGGCCGTCTTCGTGATACCCATGCTGGCTGCGACGCTGCACGAACAAAGTCCCATCTATCTTGTGACTAGGGACGGAGGGTGCGAGGCGCTTGTGGCGGAGGGGGGAAACTTGCTCAAATGGACTCAAACCAATTCTAGGCCCGTGACGGAGCTGCCTCAGCTGCCCAACCCAAAACCCCTGATGCATTTTCATGCTTATCTGACATGACTTGGTCATCTTTCACCATTTGTGCCGAGCGCCATTGGTCAGAGTGGTGGTGAGCAGGGCACGTTCATGGTCTTGGCAAGTTTTCAAGACGGACGTGAAGTGTCGCAGCACCTCAAGGTACAAAACCCCAGAAGATTCTCTTCGGCAAACGGGCGAATCCCGATTATTCGGTTCTCTCATGCAACCTCGCTCATTGGGACTTGAACGTGTTGTTCACGTGCTTATCAAGATCTCATCTGGAACATTCCGAATCTCAAAGCCATGGTCACACTTCGCTCAGCCCTCGGTCTGGCCATTTGGCTGACCACCACTAATGCCCAGAGCTCTGGCCGGCCCGGACATGGCATGATTGGTCTTGGTATTCCCATGTATGAGCCCGCGTGCGCTCATGCCTGCCGTGGAGGCAGTCCCCGGGCCGCCATCGACTGCGGCAACGGCGAGGAACATGCTGCAGGCCACCACGGAGGTGTAGCTGTGACACCAGGTACGATGCCATGGAAGAGCACTGACCAATGACTTGAAGTATTCCTAGGCCGTAGCTAACATGTGACCAGAATGTATGGCCACCAGCGAGCCGTGGCTGAAGACAGTGGCATACTGCATCTACCAGCACTGCAAGGACATCGACAACTCGACGCTCGAGCGGTACTGGCAGACTGAGCTGATCAGCAGGCATGACGAGCCTCAAGCAAAGTGGTCGTACCAAGAGTCTTTGCACCACGTCCTCGAGAGCGATGTTCCTACCGAGGTGTTGGAGGAAGACGGCGTTCTCAACAGAACAGTCCTCGTCGATGAAGAGTCTTATATCGCCACGGCGAATGGAAACACTGGTTTTGGCAACACCGAAAGGTGGCACGTCAACTTTAAGTAAGCTTTCTCTGGCTCTCCCCATATCCTCAGCCATATTGGGTAGCCGTATGAGCCAAGGTAAAGTTGATAAAGAAGGCCTCGCTGACTCTTCATGTCACTAGCCTTATTGTTCTCCTCACTGGTGCCGGAATCCCCATTCTCTGCTCGCTCCTGAGGTTTGTTCCGTTTCCCGAGTCCGTCGTCAGCAAATTCTACGCCTACATCATCGAGCCCCCTGTCCTCGGCTCTAGTCATAATGTCCCTGTACTCAAGAACTTGGCCATTGTTCCCACAAGAGGGCAGGCCCTGTTCCTTGTGTACATCTCTGTCATCAACATTATCGGGTCCTTCGTCATGCTCGACCAAAAGTCGCCCAACTCGTGGTGGGGAAGCAAGCAGGAAGAGTTCTTGTCTCTGTATTCCAACCGCGTGGGCATGCTTTCATTTGCGAACCTTCCGCTGCTCATTCTCTACGCTGGCCGGAACAACATCCTCCTGTGGATCACTAACTGGTCGCACTCAACATTCCTGCTCCTCCATCGCTGGGTTGCCTTTATCTGCATGCTGGAGGCTGTTCTACACTCTGCTGTGTACCTTGATGTTCACGTGCGAATTTACAAGGATCATACTGAGATTGTAAGTTGCCCATATTGAAAACTCGACCATGCTGGAAACTGATAATTTTTGAAGGCTTCGGTGGAGTACTGGTACTGGGGTATCATCGCGACGCTTGCGTTGGTCCTCATTATCCCGTTCTCGGTTCTTCCTCTTCGGTACGTCAACCTTGTGAGGGACAGCACAGCGCGGCCTAACGAGAGACTCATTCTGACGTGAAAAGTCAACGGCTGTATGAATTCTTCCACGCCGCTCATATTGTTCTTGCCATCATAACTATTGTTGGATGCTGGTATCACATCATCGTAAGCTTCCCCACGCTCTCCACAGAACAAGCTTTGATCACCAGCTAACACGGATTTAGTGGCGATACGAGCGACAGTGGGGATATGTAAGTCTACCAATATTCAGAACCACGTGAATGTTGATGCTGACGTTATCTCAGGAAGCTTGGGTGCTCATGGCTATCGGCATCTGGGTCTTTGACTGGTTCGTGCGTGTTGTCCGCATCGTGCAGAACGGCGTCAAGACGGCATATGTGACCAAGATTGACGATGACTATCTCCGAGTCGATATTCCAGGCCTCGATTCGCACGGCCATGTTTACCTGTATTTCCCAACCCTCAATTGGCGCTTATGGGAAAGCCACCCGTTCTCCGTCATTGGCAACAGCAACCTCGGCTCCGGATCTGCCGTAACCAACACTGGTGAAAACTCTCCTCAGGATTCTGAAAAGGTCTCGCCAAATGTTCACGACGGACCCGTGGATGCCTCGTCTTCATCAGCCTCGTCTCGGGCCTCGGTGCGTCACGGCCCCGCCGGAACGACACTCTACATCCGTCTACAGACAGGCACAACCTCGTCCCTCGCTCAAAAGGCCGGCTCCGCCATCGGTGTTCCTGTGTTGGTTGAGTCGAGCTATGGCAGCGAGTCGCTCTACCCCGGTGACGGCCACGCCCAACCATCTACCACGTATCCCAACCTCATTACCATCGCCGGTGGCGTCGGCATCACTGCCGTTCTTCCCGTCTTGAGCAATGCCCAGTCCCTGAATGCCTCGCTCGGTACCAAGAAACTCTTCTGGGGCGTCCGCGCCAGCTCAACCGGGCTTGTCACCTCGGTCCAGAGCATCATCGCCTCGTCAAGTGTGTCCGCCGAAGAAAAGTTGACGCCTGTCCCTGGTCGCAATCTGACGAGGTGGGGCGATGTTGACGTCGAGGTCACTGTGGGAGAGAGGTTCAACTTCCGGGCGTTGCTGGAGGCGGAGCTCAGCGGGCAGGCTGCCAAGGTTGGCACGACGGTCATGGTCTGCGGACCGGCGGGCATGGCTGACGAAGTGAGGAATGTCGTCACTGCGTTGGGTCGGCACGGGGCTGTTGTCCGCTATGTCGAGGAGGCATTCGCTTGGTGATGGTGTGCTTTGGAGGTTGTTTCACGAATCAAGATGCTTCGGAAATCGCTGCTGCTGTATTTGTCAGATGTGCCAAGAACATGTTCACGTCATGCTCGACTCGAGGGATACCTATGTTGTTTACTCGATCCAGAACTATTCCCAGTAATGGCGTGATCTGACTTTGGCACTCTTCGCCGATACGAATCGCTGTTAATTTGAAACAAACCAGTTGTCGTGCGTGAAGGTTCAGCTCTGGAGCAAATCTTGGCCTCTACACCTTCACTCACATTAAATACATTATACTCTTCCATGAACACATCCACTCATTGCCGCCGCCCAGAGTGCCACATCAGGGCTGTTCTGACTTCAGGCAACATCCTTGTATGAAGATGTATCAATAGCGTGGGGACTTTTTGGCAAGGCTTCTGTTTGTTACGCAGGCTTCGTCTCCGTGCTAAACATGAAGCTCACATACTCACATGATGGTCTCTATGTTGTTCGAGTCATGATCAGTTTCTTAATTTGCCTTGGAGGGCTCGGCCGTCTAAGAGTTGCCTGACTCCAGACCCGAGGTTCCAGGTCCTCTTGGCTTCGGCCGACTCGGAGTTGCGGATCGGGCACTCAGCCTCATCGGTGGGTGCAATCAGTGATCGGCTCCGGCACTCGTTGATGGAAGGAGCGCTCTCGCATGGCGAAGCCGAAATTGATGAAGTATAGCGGACGATTGCTATTACTCAGTAGGAGACGGGTGGATGTTATGCGTGATGCGTCTAGTGTTCCAAGAAATTCCCGAAGACCTGGGTCCTTCTAAGAATGGGTGTTCGCAAAGCCGCACATCATGATAAGATCTGAATTAAGAACAAGGCCACTGACTAGATGTGCTGTGCGGCCCCCTTTTTGGTCACTAAGCAGGACATACGGCAACGCCGGCAGGCAGACTGCCTCGTGAGGGCCGTGAGGGCCAGGGTGATGTGGTTTCACACAGAGCCCTGCGGCGCTCGACCACCAGACAGACTGACGGCCGTGCGCGCGCGGCTAAACCCGCAAACACTGCAACGCGAACGACCTCTGTGCATAC